GAAACTGTCATTTGAGAAACGTAGGCATCAACAAAAAGAGAGTGCTATTTTCTCTTAGTGAATGTTAAGAGGCTTTAAAACACAACCACCACCCCCCTCCCCCAACCCTAAAATAAAATACTACTTTAACACGAGGGCATAGACAGGCAGAGATTCTAGTTTGTTTCTGGTCTCTAAAGATTCCAGCAGGATGGAGGTTGAGGCAGATAGGTGAAGCATGGTAAGAGTGGCTGCCAGCAGGCTGAAGAAAATCCAGGCAACGGTGCTTAATGATAACATTTAAATGATGTGCTTGTGTGAGCAAGAGAATTTCCCAGTCTGCGGGAGAGAATTCTCAATGCTGCCTGAAGGGATGCTCACTTTACCTTCCCTGGAACCTATCCCTTAGGGGTTAGAACCTCCAGTTAAAGTTACCCGATGCTAAGGATGTCAGAGCTCTGAATTATTCACAAGCCAGTGTGATTGGAAAAGAGAAAGTGCATGTTTCTGGGGTCACAGATACATGCTATTAGTTATTAGGAGAACTGGACAAAATATATGGGATTGTCAAAACCTAGACTTTCTGAGAAATAACCACACTGATGAGCCAAGGAGCTATTTCTGTCATTATTCAGACGTTTTCTGGAAAGGGCAACTTACACAAACACATACAGCTACAATGTGAAAGTGCCAAAATTTGAATCCAGGAGACTTGCTTTAATGCACATCAAGGAGCTCCCAAGTTCCACCAGCAGCTTCAGCTGCAGATAATGTCTAGTCTGACCAGCAGTCCACTGTGTGGAAAACATATCAGTGTTGTGACCTCAGGCAGGGCAAGTACTTTCTAGTTCTCTACAGACCTAGACAGTTCCAGAATACCTTAAATGACCTGGCTGTAACCCCAAGTTTATGGCTCACCTCACCATTATCTCCTCCACCAGGGTGTCTGTTAGCAGGAGGGCAATTTAGGACACTGCATTTTGTTTTGGGAGTGGTTGGTTTTTTGTTAGTTTTTGAATTAATCCCATCAAGCATTAATCATCAAGGGCCTTTGATGCTTTTTAAAAGGATCATTCTGGAAATTGGTACAGAAGATTAGCAAGATTAGAAGGCAGGAGCTGAGTTTGGGAAATGCTAGAGAAATCCAGCTAGGAATTGATGAGAGCTTGGATGAGGGATTTGGGACATGGGGAGAAGGAAACAGGAAGACAGATGACTAGGAAAGGGAGTCGGGATACAGTGTCCATGTGGGGGTTAAGGGGGAAGAGCCCAGTGTAACTCTCAATGGATGGTCTCAGTACTAGGTGGCTGCCGGTACCATTCAGCCTGGTCAGCAATAAACAGGAACCTAGTAAAGTATGGGGCCAGGTAAAGGCAAATGTCTTTCATGGAGGAAAGGTTCAGAATAGTCATTCTTGGGTAGGACCAAGATCTAGAGAGAGGCATTTTTT